GTCAGTAAGAGAAGGCACACGTGCCCCATCCTCCCATCATTCTCCAGGCAGGTGTGGGGAGGGGAAGTGTGTGGGGGCAGACAGTGGATTTTATTTTCTGGGGAGGGACCTCACCCTAGTTTCACTCTCTTTCTTGTAGGACAAATGTACAAACAGCTTTGCCAGTGGGGATAAAATTAGGCTACTTGAGCACTAAGCATTAGGGATTTGAGTGCCAGGAGTTACCCAATAAGGCTAATTTTCCACTCCAAGTGGGTGGAAGGGGTCAGCGAAGGAGAATATGAGTCATGATGCCCAGATCTTGGCCCGAGTAAGAGGCCGGGTGTGCTAATGAGGAATCCCATTTGGGACATACTGAACCAGAATCACCTATGACAAGCTCAGGGGCGGTGTTATACACTCTCATAGAAGCGCGTGGCACAAGGTGGTATTGTTTGTCCCGTCTGCAATTGAATTAACAATTGTGCAGGTATTGTTTCGTCTCTGCTCCATGTTGCAAGCTCCCCATGGCCATGTCTATTGTCTCATCATTTCACTGCTTTGTTCCCAGTTCAGCACAGGGTCAAGCACAGAGTAGTGACTGCATGCTGAAGGAATAAATGAATCAACGTGGACCTATGCAGCAGGCAGTTGGATAGAAGGGTGCGGAATTGAAAGGCCTGACTGAGCTGAATCCAGGAGCGGTTCACACTTAAGTACTAATTGAATTCAAGGGACTGTGTCAGATGAGCCAGGCAGGTTGAGACAATCAAAAGGCCTGGGCTACAGGACTGGGAAACACCAACAACCAACAGAGCCAAGGAAGAGGAGCAGCCAGGTAGCTAAGAGGACAGTGTTCTGGAAGTGAAGAAATGAGAGAGTTTTAAGTACGGAAAAGTCAAATGTAGCTGAGATGATAAATGCTAACATTTACAAAGCAGTCATATGCTTGGTACATTCTGATGGCTCCAGTATATTGTTGGCTCCCCTTTGAGCCAATCACTGTCTCAGGGTGACCTCTTGTAGAGCAAAATCAGACCATTGTGATCCTTAGGATTTTCATAGACTGACTTTTGGGGCATAGATTGCCAGAGCTTTCTTCCTAGTCTTTAGTCTGGAATTATCATTGAAATACTAACATGAAAGCTTCCACTGATAAAGAGAACGGTTCTCTTAGAAGAGTCTTATGCAACAGGTGTGATAATCATCACCGTTCCCTCTCTAAGAAGAGGATACTGATGCCCTGAGAGGTCACCTAATTAATAAGTTATCAAAAAGTCAAAGTCATTGCCATGGAATTGGAACCAACTCATAGCTGACCTTTCAGTGGGTTTTTAGAGGAAAGGGAAGATTTCCCATTTTTCTTCCACAGACTGGCTGGTGGATTCAAACCTCCTACCTTTGGGTTGGCAGGGCTACTCCTCACTCCAAAGCTGCATGTTAAACCCAGGCTGTCAGATCCTGGAATCTGCTCTTAACTGTTATAGATGCTGCTTCAGAGAAGAGGGAAAAGGTCACTGGTAACCTTGGCAAAACGGAGGGGTGAGCCCATGCCACAGGAATTAGAAGAGAGAGAGTAATACCAGAGAGGCAGGTCCTCGCCACTTAAGGTGCAGCTCTATCAGCATCATCTGGGAGCCTGTTACAAATACCAAACCTCAGCCCGGAGCTGACCTTCTGAATTACACTATGCATTTTAACAAGATTCCCCAGATGATCTCTGTGCATAGTAATGTCTAAGAAAGGCTGGATGACTCTTTCAAGAACTTTGGTTTAGAGATGAAAAAGAGAAGAAGAAGGGGGGAAAAAACCAACCCAAAACCAACCCCTAAGTAAGAGGTTTTTTAAATATAGGACAGAAGAGACTTCTGCATATTTATAAGCTTCCAGCAAGCAGTTCAAATCCTGGCAGCACATTAGAGCCACCTGGGGTGCTTTGAAACCCCGACAGAGAATCTAGAAGAACACGTCTGTGTGGCCAAGGTAATTCTAGTGTATGGGAAATAGAGACTTACCCACCAGTAAGGAAAGACATAAAGGTGCAGGCACCAGGGAATGGCAGCGCAAAGTAAGCCTCCAGAGAGATGGGAAAGGATGGTGTGAAGATGAGGAAATATAAGAGAGATGTGTGGAGAAGAGGGTGAGCAGAAAGAGGAAAGCAAAGAGAACTAGGGCTTTGTAGTTCAACGAGCTGCTGAGAATTAGCCATTCCATTCCAAATACACTGAGTTAGAATCTACCTTTTAACAGATATTGTGAATACATACCTTGTTGTTGTTATGGGCCATCAAGTGAGAACTGACTCATTGCTGACCTTCTAGGAGGTTTTCCAGAGTCTGTAAGCAACATGAAAGGAGATTGCTTATCTTTCTCCTGTGGAGCAGCTGATGGATTAGAACAGCTTGCTTTTGGGCTACCTGTGCAACTCCTTACCATTAGGCCACCAGAACTCCAATGGCATATTGGAACTTATTTATCGCTAAAAAGTTGGAACCAACTCATAGCTGACCCTCCAGTGAGTTTTCAGAAGCTGTGAATTGCATGGGAGGAGATTGCCCATCTTTCTTCCAAGGAGCAGCTGGGGGATTCAAACCACCTGATTTTGGGAACGCAGCCACTTTGCCCATTAGTCCATTCGGGCTCCCTGTTAACCGAAGGAGTGGGGCCTCTCTAGATGTGAGTGGCTCCCAGGAGGCAAATGGGCGATCTCCTCTCAGGGAATTTACAGCTTCGGAAAACCCTATAGGGTTAGTTATGAGTCGGTTCTGATTCAACGGCAATGAGTTTGAGTTTTTAAGTTTATACAGGAGCTCAGGTGGTGTTGTACGTGACTATCAGACTGCTAACTGACACGTTGGCAGAGAATCCACCAGCAGTCTGGGAGAGGAAGATGGGCAGACTGCTTCCATAAAGAGTTACAGGCTCAGAAACCTAGTGGCAGGTCACTACGAATTAGAACCCTCTCAACCAAGGTTGTACAAAACAACATCACAGGCAACTCATCGGCACATAACAACAGTAACATACTATCACAGGTTTGGAAGCAGGAGTGGCATCCACTTACCAAATAACACGGCTCCGGAAACTTTCTGAACTTTGGTAAATGTTGATAATTGAAGAGGGGCTTCAGGCCTTTTCTTCATACCGTTAACTATGAGTCGTCCTCGACTCAAAGGCAATCAACAACAGAAGTGGGTTTCTTTGGGGCTTATGAATGTATTAAAATCACCTGGAGATCTTGTTAAACTGTAGATTCTGATTCGTATGCCTTGAGTGGAAATGAAAATTCTCAGTAGGGAGTTGAACCAGAATGAACCAATTCAAATCCCTGGAAAGAATAAAATTTGTAGGGGGTGGGTCCATCAAGGAGATGGATAGACACTTGAAGGGAATCATATCTGATAATTATACTTTTTCTTGCTTTTAAAAAAAATAACTAGAACATGGGACGACATGAATGACACTTTAATGAAAATGATACAGTCAGTGTGGAAGATACTTTGGCAGTTCCTCAAAAAGTTAAACATAGAACTAGCATATGCTCCAGCATTCCTCAAAGACTAAAAAAGCAGGGACTCAAGCAAATGTTTCTACTGCAGCGTTCACAGCAGCATTATGCACGATGGTGAATCCACTAATACTGACTAGCTGAATGCTTGAAGAGCTCCTAGGCAAGTGTGTATGTACGCTCTGATACCTTGGTTGATTCACAACCACATGACCCTCCATTGGGTTTCTGACCATCTTTCTGATCATAGATGCAGCAGGTTGAGTCGAATTTGGTTGGACAACTTGGTTTAAATGAATAAATGAGAAAGGCTTGCTGAGAGGACTTGTGGAAGGCGATTGGCACTGATGGCTTAGTGGTAAGGAAGTGCTGAGCATTCTCCTGCCTTGGATTTTACTGACCCCGAAAAACCGCCAGAGGGTCAGCCCGCCAGAGGGTCAGCCCACCAGAGGGTCAGCTATGACTTGGTTGGGCTAGATAGCCCTAACAGCTACAGGAAGAGGAAGACAAGTGGGAGACTGAGCTGATTAAGGGGAAACCAATGGGTTTAAGAACCTGATCCAGGTGGGAGTGTAGGATCGGTAGTGGCAGGAAAGACAGCAAGCTGAGGCAGAGCAGAGGCAGTTTAACGTGTACCGAGTGTGGTTTCTACAGTACAAGTACAACCCCTCCTCTGTGGTTTTCGGACAGTTGCTTAGTTTTTCCTCAAGCCTTTATCTCTATTTCTATCAGTAAAACGATGTTGATAAACGCATGACCTTTCTCCACACTTTGAGGAAGGGATTAAAACAGTAAATGGGTGCAAAGAGTTTGATAATGAGTGTTCATCCCTACAATTAATACACGATCAGGGGAAGATTGTGAAAAGCTATAATGTAAAGAGACTTTCTGTAATCGATGTACATGTTGGTCCAGAGTATAGATTTGCCCCAAATCACACACCTACACAAACTTTTCTACACCTTGACTTGTGTGGAGAAACCTAGTGTCTGGCACAATAAAACTCAAACCCGGTGCTGTGGAATCGGAACTGACTCATAGCGGACCCTCTCGCAGTTTTCAGTGAAGTAAACCGCACAGGAAAACATTTTTCTCCAGTGGAGCGGCTGTTGGATTCGAACAGTCAGAGAGGCGATGGATTTAGGTTAGCAGAGTAACTCCCTAAAGACTACACTTTCACAGCTCCCTCTAGAACAATATGTTTTCCATTAATATTTGTTGAGATTTCCCAAACCTTACTCTTCTGGTGACAAGGTGGAGTGGGAAAGATTAATGTCTCATTTTTAGGGAAGAATGAACCAATGAGGAAGCTATGTAGACTGACATGGAAAACGCAGCTCATCAGAAAATGAATGGGCCTGCTTCACCTGAACCTCAATTCCTCTACGTCCAAGGACGGACGGAGGCCAAGTAATGGCTCTAAAGCTTCGTCCCTTTAAGAGGTGTGGCCTCGCTGCAGTCGCCGCACAGTAATTGGCTGGAGCAGCCAGCTCTGCCCGGTGGGCGGGACTCCGTTGCCTGGGAGCTGTGCAGGGGCCTTAGGGGAACTGCGGCGGCTGCGCAGAGGAGTGAGGCGCTGCTGGGGTCGGGGGTGAGCGACGGCGCTGGGGGCTTCGGGGAGCGCCGCGCAGGCAGTGCAGTTCCCAGCCGGGAGGCCCCGCCGCCATTGCTGCCACGCTCGGTGAGCGCAGCCCGGCTCGCCGAGCAGGATCTCAGCGGGCCATCAGCACGATGGGCCAGTGCGGCATCACCTCCTCCAAGACTGTGCTAGTCTTTCTCAACCTCATCTTCTGGGTGAGCAGGACCGGCGGGCGGGGAAGGACGAGCGGGGGGCCCCGGGAAGGCCTCGGCGTGGGCTCCTGCGGGTCGGGGCCTGGCGCTGCGGGGCCCCGCAGCAGAGGCGCGGGGAGGACCAGGGCCCGGCGCGGCTTTGCGAGGCCCCTCTTAGGCCCGGACGAAGGCCCCGGGCATGGGGGGCGGTGTAGGGACACCCTCGGGAGCTTCCCCCCCCTTGGAGGCCTCGGGTCTGGACCGGTGCCCGGGCTGCTGGCCCCGTGCCAGGTGCTCCGCTGAGCGAGCCCCCATCTCTCCTTCCAGAGCAGCTTGTTGGGAGTGAGCTCCCATTGCAGATTCTTTGAGGACATCAGACTCGAAATAGGATATTCCCCAAAGGGCCAGGCTCTGCTTCTTTTGTCAGGGCCTAGAACCCCGCAGGTCCGCTGGCAGCCCCGAGGCATGTGAGCAAACGCGGCAGATATGCGGGGACGCTACCGAGGCAGGGATGAGGGGTTTTCACTTTTAAGAACTCCTTGTGCATAGAGAACTGGTTGGTCATCAGCCCAGACGACGGAAGGACTCCAACTTTAGAATCCTTTGACCAAGAAATGTCAAAATGTCAAACCATTTGCTTTGTTGTTGGGCGTGGATAGCCAGAGGTTCTAAACCTTGGTTAAATACGATTCAAATGTCACAAGATTTTGAAAGCAGTGAGTTAACATTCAATAATAAGTGCCTTATACATTTTCTCTGTGCATGTTCCTAAAGAAAGGGGCATTTTTGTAACTTTTCCATCTTAGTCCGGGTCTTTAGCGGACCAGAGACTTTTGTAATCACCTATGTTATGCCTATCAGTTTCCGCCCTCAAGTCTTTCTGGACCTTGCTCCCAAATAAAGCATTTCCTCCATCACATCACTTTCTTTGATTAAAAGAATAAACACTCCCCAAAAAATACAGCCCAAGACGACAACCCAACGTAAGCCATAGAATGAGGTTCAACATCCTTCACCTGATATTGGAACTTAAGTCCTGCATATGGGGAAAAGGAAAGGAAGTTGCCATTCTTTACCCCTCATTTCCTTCTATTGCTTCCCTAAACAGAAATCTCTGGACAGTTCCTAGAATACTCTGAACTTTCCCACTACGTATTTTTCATGTATTCACTCATCCTCAGGGATCCTCCATTCAACCATACCTTCTTCACACAAATCTCATGTGGAGAGAATCCCTTTCCTTCTTAACACTGTCTGTATCAAAGTATGAAACTTCTCATCCTGACTGCTGTAGCACAGAGGAGGGTTGTATAGAACAAGATTCTTACTACACACCTGTACTGCTGTGTTGTTAGGTGTCATCATGTTGATTACAGTTCATAGGAGAACAACAGACCTGAACCTTGCTCTGTCCTGTAGCATTCTCACCATCTCTGCCGTGCTCCAGTTCATTGTCACAGTCACTATGTCAGTACATCTTGTTGAGTCCATCACTGACCCTCCACCTTTCCCAACTGGGTGTCCCCTTCCAAATATAAGCCCCTCCTGGTAACATACTCAAAGTACGTGAGAAAGTTTCATTCTCCTTGCCTCTTAAGAAGTGCCTTGGTTGCACTTCTTCCAGAACATCCTTTTTTGTTCTTTTGGCAGTCTGTGGAATAATTCAGTGCTCTTCTTCAGCATCGCAAGTCAAAGGTATCAGTTCTTCTTTTGTCATCCTTGTTAGTCCTTTAAGGTATTTATGGTGAGATAGAGAGTCCTTCCTAACTGGTATTTAGTGACATTGGTGTTACTATGACTTCTTTTCCAATTAGAACAGTTTTTTACATTTTTTAGGCCTTATTAAAGAGGAAACCATTTTCAAAGATACCCAAATGAGAAGTGTAAGAATCTCTGTTAAATAATGAAGTCCTCAAGGGTATTCTGCCTTTACAGTTCCTTTTGATTTTGGGGCATAATGACTCAATTTTGAAGAGTAACATATGTACTGTCAGATGGGTTCTACATTGTACAAGGTGAAGGACTAGATATAGCAATAATAAGTATATTAGAAGTACAGGAATCATTTTCTTTAAATAATTTTTGTTATGTGCCATTGAGTCCTTTTCATTTACTCTTAAATGTCAGTTATTTCTAAGTAGTCATGTGTCTGTGTAAATTGTGTTATGTGCCATTGGTTGTACTTTTACACAAACGTTAGTGAAGGTTTGTTACTCTTCACCTGTGGTTATCATCAAAATTGAAGTCAAAGGTGTTGTAAAAATACCTTTTATCTGGGTTAGTAGGATAGTAAAGCTTTTGTGGGCACTGAATGCATATTTAAACAAGTGAAGTATAGTTATAATTTATATGTAGTTAGCTATAACGAACAAAGGAACGGTTTTCCCTTGTCAGGTAGGTAAGGTTGTGTCTTTTCAGGTATTCAAAAGGAGCAAACAATTGAAATATAATAGTGATGATCATAGCAGTGTTAACTAATGTTCTAGTGCTTGCTCCATGCCCAACACTTCATGCTGAACACTTTAATTGGAGTGTTCTAACAGTAACCCCATCTGGCAGAGACTGTTGTTATACTTATTTTATAGACAGGGGCAATAGGTTTTACTGAGTTTAAAGTAGCACACCCAAGGTGTGGCAGGGCCTTTATTGAAAAGCCATATGTCCCACATGCTGGAATTACGAGGTTGGAGCAAAGGTGAGTTCAGAAGATTTGGAGAGAGAATGAACTTGGCAATGAGGTTGAAGTCTGTTTCTCCAGAGCATGTTACTTTTATCAGTGGTTAGGACTTGCACTAGCGTTTAAATGACACCAGTTTTTCAAAATTAGTTCGCAGTGAGAAAACATATGTTAACCCAAACAGATGTTAACCAGAAAAAAACCCCACAACCACTCCCTAAGAATTTGCAGTATATTCTATAAGTGTATTTTCATATAATATCTTGAGATCTGTAAGTTGAAGAAAAAACATTCTCTACACAGAGAATATCAGAAGTTCATCTTGATTCCCTTTGGCAAGTTTAGTAAAAACTTTTAAACTCTGTTACACAGACAGTTAACTATCAGATGGCAATGGCTGATTATAGATAAGTGTTACAGTTAATTGCTTTGGCAAGATCTTTAAACTATACTTTTGAAACAAAATATTTTGATATCCTGGATTAATTGACAGTTCTATGAGCTGCAACATGGAAGTAAATAATAAACTTGAAATACTCGAGTTAAACATTGAATGATCAAATAACAAGTGTGTTGATTGTTTTGACTTGTCTGAGTTGCAGCCTAAGACACAGACTAAAAAGAGGCAACAGACATTTGCAAGATCTTGAAGATTATCTATACAGAAACAGAGAGTACTTCCCCGAATTCAAGAATACTAGGGCTTGTTGCTTGAATATTGTGGACAAATAAAGAAAGGATGTACAATTTTAATGTCTTTTTATGGAATGGTGTAACTTTAAAAGCAAGAATATTTCTGGTAGACCTGCAGTGATTTCCAGAAGAGGGATAAGAAGGAGTATTTAAGATATATGACTCCCTTTTGGTTTGTTGCTTTTTTAAAATTTATTATTAATTTCAATGAAAATTTACAGAGACTGTGGATTTCCATTCATTCATTGTTGCACTCTTCTCCCCTCCAAACCCTATGACTTCGTTTTTAATGTTATTGGAATAAAAAGCCTCTAGCCTTTCTACTCCAAATGCTTTGATGCTCTAGTCTATAGTGTATTGTGCCTCCTATACAGCTTATTAAAAGGCTGCATGGGAGAAAGATGAGCGATCTCCTCTCCTTGTGATTTATAGCCTCGGAAATCAATGGAGGGCTGCCATGAGTTGGAATTAAGTCGATGGCACTGGGTAACCTTTCTGTAGGGAGTCCGTCTTAGATTCCTAAGTGGTGCAAACATTTAAGTGTTCTAGCCAATAGATTGGTGGTTTGAACCCGTTCACAGGTGCGTCAAATGATCGATTTGGTCGTCTGCTTGAGAAAGTTTGCGGCTTTTTGGAATAATTCTACTCTGCACACATTCCATTGTCATGAGGCAGGATATTGGCTCCTAGCAAGGAGCCTTTGTACCATGTTGTTATGTTTGTTATCTTTGTACCATGTGTACCATGTTCTTATGTGCCATCGAATCATAAGCAATTTGTCACTGACCCTCCAGTAGGCTTTCAGAGGCTATAAGTAACAGGGAACAGATTTACCCATCTTTCTCCCTCAGAGCAGCTGGTGAATTCTAATCACCTGCCTTTGGGTTGGCAGCACGACTCTGTATCACTTGGCCACCTGAGCACCCTTTTTGTATCACAGTCAGACAAGATTCTCAATTTGGTGGATCTGAATTTGTCTGGCCTTAGGCCTTGCTTAAATCAGTATTTTCAAATTAATTGTTGTACAACTTGCCTTTTTTTTTTTTTTTCTACTCCAGGAGGAAAACCAATGTGCTATTATTTGTTTTAATTTCATATTTGTGTCACTCATTAATTTACCTCAGATGTGTTTTAAGCATCATTCTCTAGACTGGGAGAAAAAGGGAAAGGTCCACACTTGGAGAGTTTACAGGCCGATGTAACTGGTTCAGCTGCTGCTCTTCATACCTCTGGATGATAGTAACACTGTGGAGTAGCACATAGCACAAGAAAATTCAGCACCTTTTAAACACCTTTAAAAGCACCTTCAATATGTGGCACATTCACTCATCATCTTTTATTCATAAGTAAATAACAGGAGCCCTGGCAGCATGGTGCATTAGTGTTGCCATATTACCAAAAGTTCAGTAGTTCAAGCCCACACCAGCCACTCTTCAAGAGAAAGATGGGCAGTCTCCTTCCATACAGATTTATATAGCCTCAGTGATAGATTGCCATTATGAGTCACAACTGACTTAACAGCAGTGTTTGTTTTTCCTGGGGTAATGAAGGAATTGGAAAATAACTGATAACTACAGATTGTGTTTGAAATAAAAATGTAACCTTTAAAATGTATCCTTCGATTAAAAAGGAAAAAAAGAGACTTTTCATGTGA